GATCAGCGAGAAATGAAATCCTCGGGAATATTCAGAATTGGGTTGAATAACTTTTGCGCTTGGTAAATTGAGAAAAGTATCGAGTATGTACTAGAATTTACTTATATCGATTCATTCCTAATAAAAGTATGTTCACATATCAATATTATCTCAATCAAAGCTCGTTTTTTAATCACCCCGTTTACATAGGCAAATCTCAGATTATTAGCTGTCAAATCTGTTGTAGTTGTTATTCTCACATCTCAAGGAAAAGTTATGTTTCTTCTCTGTGCCACCGTGATCACGTTTTTCTGCTATAATAAGCAATATACATATATTTTAACTTAACATTTTATTAAAAATACCTTTATTATACTAATTTCACATATAACTAGATTAACCTCATTTTCGAGCTTAACACCTAATCTGTAATTAGAACAAGAGATTAGCCATTTAAAATTCGTCCCTTGTTAATCTGTAATTATTAAATAATCTCAGATTTAACCGATAACTTTTCGGTGTCCATCCTAGTTTTATCGATTGTTTTTGCGAAAAAGAGGAGAAATGCCAAATGTGAAAGTAAACCAAAATGGACGCAAGCAGGGAAAAGAGGTTTGTAAAGGTATTTTCAATAAAATGTTAAGTTAAAATATATGTATATTGCTTATTATAGCAGAAAAACGGGATCACGGTGGCACAGAGAAGAAACCATGATAAAAATATAGTAAGGTAGAACCGCTGAGAGTCACTTTTCAAATTCTTGACGTTTCCAAACAATTTAGTTTTTTAATTTACTCACAAACTCACACATACATTTTCATTTTCAAACTCAAGCAACAACAATTTCGAACAAAATCATTTTTTTATTTTCACTTTTATATGATTTTAAAATGTTGGCAAACTTCAAAAAAAAATCACGGCCGACAAATTGAGAGAACGGTTCTACCTTGCTATATTTTTATCATGAAAGAAACATAACATAACTTTTCCTTGAGATGTGAGAATAACAACCACAACCAATTTGACAGCTAATAATCTGAGATTTGCCTATGTAAACAGGTGATTAAAAAACGAGCTTTGATTGAGATAATATTGATATGTGAACATACTTTTAGGTGTTAAGCTCGAAAATGAGGTTAACCTAGTATATGTGAACCTAGTATAACATCGAGTGAGTGGATTATCTTTAGGTTTAAAACGATACCATCGAAGTATCGATACCTGTACTGAGACTTGCATCGAAAGAAAGTATCGATACCTACTAAGTATCTGGCTAGAAGTATCGATACCTACTTATATTGATATTTGTAACTATAAGGGCCAGTTTTTCAGTGCCAGTTTAAACTGAGATTAAGTAAACTGAGTTTATACCATGTTCTGACCGACAACGAAAACACTTTGACAACGAGTTTTGGAATTGGTGGCTGAAGGCTGTTCACACCGGCTGTTAGTGGTTTCGTTGACATTTCTTACATCCTCTGATTGCAGTTTTGCTACACAAAAACAAAACCAAAATGCTTTTCCCACATTTTCTTTTCATTAGCAACCTCTTACTTTCATTCTTATTTTAGTTTGGCCAGCCAATTAACAATAAATACGAAATAGCGTATTAAAAATGAGAAAATACGACTTCCACCTCGATAAATAATCGAAAAAAACTAGTTAAGACACCGATTGGAATGAGTGGAACGTGAGCTTTCAAGTAGTTTTCAGCGAAAACTGGTTTTCGTTTGACAGATTTTACATTGACGAAAACACATGTTTTAGGATGAAAACCAGTTTTAGCAACGAAAACATGTTTTCGATGTCGGTTAGAACATGGTATTAAATTGAACAGCTGATTGACATTTGATTGGCTGATCTTAGTTTAAAGCAGCCAGATCGGGCGTTTAAACTTAGTTTAAAGCACGGCCGTGCACTGAAAAACTGGCCCTAAGAATGGGTTGTATAAAAAATACTATCATATATCTATGAATTTTTGTCAAAATAACTTATGTGACAATTATTTTNTTAAATTGAACAGCTGATTGACATTTGATTGGCTGATCTTAGTTTAAAGCAGCCAGATCGGGCGTTTAAACTTAGTTTAAAGCACGGCCGTGCACTGAAAAACTGGCCCTAAGAATGGGTTGTATAAAAAATACTATCATATATCTATGAATTTTTGTCAAAATAACTTATGTGACAATTATTTTTGATTTTGAATTTGGCTTTAATTGGATACAAATGGGTAGAAATAAAACAAGCACGTTGGTTAATCCCTTTGGAGACGTTGCGCTTTTAATTCACTTTGCTTCCTATATCCAAATATGAGTTTTCACAAAAAGTGGACTTAGCACCTTTTCACATTAAGCTAGCGATATGTTATAGATATGACAATAGGCTTTTCTTTGCAGGACTTTCTTTTCATTGGCACAACTAAGCCATGAACCAAAAACACAAGATCACGTAAGAACGCGACGTTGTATTTGTAACTGGTTTTGAGGAAAAAGTTTGCGAAGGCGGGTTCGTCAGCTGAGCGTTTGTTTACATCACAAGCACCACTATTTTACACTTTTATTCAATTAAAGAAGAGTTAATTCAACATGACAACACATTTTAAAGCATTTTGTGGGAAAATTTTCCAATAATGGACCAGGCTTTGAAAAAAAAAGAGGGGGTTTAGAGCGGCTTTTTGTGATTCTAAATATGAAACCCCCCCCTCCGGAGGCTTATAGTTTTTAAGTAATTCGTTGTTAAAGTTGTAAAAAAAGTGCAATTTAACCTCACATTTTCCTTTGTACATCGAGTGAACTGAAATTGCGGTGCTGCCACACATCACAAAAAATGTGTAAAAAAAAGTACTGAAAAGGGAATCAACGAAAACGTAAGTAATAAAGTGGACATGTACATATATGATATAGCTTTTTTATTGGATATTTTCACTATATATGGAAGAATTGATAAAAAAAGGGCCGTAGGTGAAAATTTTCAAAATATATGGAAGTATTGGATTTTTTAGAAAAAAGCGCCGCAGGCGAAAATTTGTAATAAAAAATCGCGCGATTTTTTATTACAAATTTTCAAGATATATGGAAGTATTGGATTTTTTAGAAAAAAGCGCCGCAGGCGAAAATTTGTAATAAAAAATCGCGCGATTTTTTATTAAAAATTTTCAAGATATATGGAAGTATTGGATTTTTTAGAAAAAAGCGCCGCAAAAGATCCCGTAATGCATCACAAAGTATTTTTGGCTAAAAAGAACTATTAACATTTTCAACGATATGGCACCTCATTCATGGCGGCCATCGCTGAACAATTGTGTGTTTACTATTCTTTGAGAATAGAAAAATATTTTAAGAACACTTTTATAAGCATTAATGGCTAAATATTTAGTGAAAAAAGATGTGCATCCATTTGTTTATGAAGAAAAGATGGTGTATTAATAAAAAGAAAAGTGATTAGTGCAGTGTTCATAAAAAAATAATTGTGAAGCAGTGGGGAAATTTTTTAACAACGAATAACTTAAAAACTATTAGCATTTGTACACAAAATGTTGATGATATCGGTCAATGAGCGCCTCCTCAACACCCCCTGCGAATTTCATTAAAAAATTCCTAATACTTTGGGTGATATAGGAAATGGTCCATTATAGGAAATCTCAGCCAAAAAAACAACGAAAACCAAAATTAGCCATAATTATTGTCAGCCACTTTAAACGCACAATTTAGGCTATCTGCACACTTGTCGTCCAATCATAGTTGCGTTATCGTCTCGCCCTGAAATTTTGAGCCGAGCACATGCATTTCAAAGGAGATCTGCACACTTGTCGTTATCGGCTAGTTATCGGCAAATCGTAGAAGATGCAGAAACGGATAAGTACGGCACTGTCGTTTGCTAATCGTTGTGCACGCATTGTTTGTTTACATTTTATGGGGGAAAATTAGTGAAAAAGTTAATATTTGCATTAAAATTGTATAAAAATTAGTATTTTTTTGCATAAAATCTGTGGAAATTATTAAAAAGTGGATAATTGCATTAAAATTTAATAAATATGAGCGTTTTAACTATAAAATATGACGAAATTGTATTAAGTCTCTGTGTGCATACACAAAACACATTCCAGGAAAAGAAAAGAAGAGATATTACTGGAAAATTACGTCTAGAAATGTTGCAGCACAGTCTATATTTAAAAAATTGCAGGTTTTTGTAAATATTTCGCGAAAATATCAACCAAAAAAAACAGAAAATACCTGCTCCAAGTGAATTTTTAGACGCCAAATGAATTGAAATATCACGACCAAGTGTGCAGAAGTGTAATCGTCATGTAATCGTTGCTTCATGACGATAACTATGACTCAACTATGATTGGACGACCAATGAGCAGAAAGCCTTAGGTAAAATAATGCAACAAACTTTTTCACTCTCTTGTTCTTACGTGATCTTGTGTCTTTCGTTCATGCAACTAAGCTGCCAAAATGAACCGGGTTTCGATACAAGTACTTTCTTCCGATACCTACTCGGTACTCGGTTCGCAAGTATCGATACCAAAATTACTTGGAATCGGACGAAAAGTATCAAGTATGTACTTGTATTTTCTAGTACCGTTTTGTCCCTAATTATGTTATACGAAAGGCATAATGCCTAAAGTGGTTTCACGCAGCATTGTTTGCTCGGATTCTAAGGATCAAGAAGAATACAATGAAGAAAAGCCATTAAATATATATTATTGCCTTTGTGGAAAGTTAACTTTAATTATTGGTAAATCTTGACAATCTTCCGTGCACTACTACTATTGACTACATTCTTGCATGTATTATAGATTGTAGAATTGATATTTTGCCCCTGCGGCCTGTTGATGGAGCACGAGTGATTGATGGAAAACAACATGCTCATAAGCTTGCTTTTCATGGAGGTCAGTCCCTCTACATAAAACGCGCCAAAGGATACGAACGGCAATATCGCTTAAACGTAAGTTGCATGTGCAATCGATGTAGCAGAACAAGGTGAATTTATACAAGGTGGTGTTATATCATGAACCAGCAACACAGTCCTGCTGCCATTTGCACATATTCTGCATGTACAACCCCCGATTACGGAATTAAGGAAAATAGGGAGGGTAGAGGGGGTTCTAAAGGGGGTGTATGTAAAGTTTTAAAGCGCGCAACCTTATAGTTTTGAAGTAATTTGTTATTAAAGTCTGTATTTTTCACCAACTTGTATGGGACTATTTCACAATATATAATGCACTTTCCACTAAATTTACACGTTATTTACACTCAATATATGCGCAGCTAGAGTGTGCACGTTCAAACAAATAAATACTTTTAGTATATTACAGCTTTTTTATAAAAAATTGATTGTTGTTTAATTTTATGAGAGTACATGCTGAATATGTGCAAATGGCAGCAGGACTGTGTTGCCATATGTAAAAAACCAAGAGTGGAAAGCAAGAGCAAAAAAAAATACGATTAAAAGGAAAATACGATAAGGTTATTTTGTTCAGATTAAAATAAATAGTAGGGGGATCAGGGGCTGAACACGTTTCTTCGTAGGCGGCCTTCGGCCGCACTTAGGGATTATAACCCTCAGGCAGTAGAATTCTCCTTTCTGTGTTGCCAAAGAAAAGGGGCCGAACACCTTTTGCATAGAACACCTTTCTGCGTAGGCGGCCTTCGGCCGCACTTAGGGATTATAACCCTCAGGCAGTAGAATTCTCCTTTCTGTGTTGCCAAAGAAAAGGGGCCGAACACCTTTTGCATAGAACACCTTTCTGCGTAGGCGGCCTTCGGCCGCACTTAGGGATTATAACCCTCAGGCAGTAGAATTCTCCTTTCTGTGTTGCCAAAGAAAAGGGGCCGAACACCTTTTGCATAGAACACCTTTCTGCGTAGGCGGCCTTCGGCCGCACTTAGGGATTATAACCCTCAGGCAGTAGAATTCTCCTTTCTGTGTTGCCAAAGAAAAGGGGCCGAACACCTTTTGCATAGAACACCTTTCTGCGTAGGCGGCCTTCGGCCGCACTTAGGGATTATAACCCTCAGGCAGTAGAATTCTCCTTTCTGTGTTGCCAAAGAAAAGGGGCCGAACACCTTTTGCATAGAACACCTTTCTGCGTAGGCGGCCTTCGGCCGCACTTAGGGATTATAACCCTCAGGCAGTAGAATTCTCCTTTCTGTGTTGCCAAAGAAAAGGGGCCGAACACCTTTTGCATAGAACACCTTTCTGCGTAGGCGGCCTTCGGCCGCACTTAGGGATTATAACCCTCAGGCAGTAGAATTCTCCTTTCTGTGTTGCCAAAGAAAAGGGGCCGAACACCTTTTGCATAGAACACCTTTCTGCGTAGGCGGCCTTCGGCCGCACTTAGGGATTATAACCCTCAGGCAGTAGAATTCTCCTTTCTGTGTTGCCAAAGAAAAGGGGCCGAACACCTTTTGCATAGAACACCTTTCTGCGTAGGCGGCCTTCGGCCGCACTTAGGGATTATAACCCTCAGGCAGTAGAATTCTCCTTTCTGTGTTGCCAAAGAAAAGGGGCTGAACACCTTTTGCAGAGAACACCTTTCTGCGTAGGCGGCCTTCGGCCGCACTTAGGGATTATAACCCTCAGGCAGTAGAATTCTCCTTTCTGTTTTGCGAAGAAAAGGAGCTGAACACCTTTCTGCGTAGGCGGCCTTCGGCCGCACTTAGGGATTATAACCCTCAGGCAGTAGAATTCTCCTTTCTGTTTTGCGAAGAAAAGGAGCTGAACATTTTCTTTTGTATTGATTTCCCCTGTATTCCTTTTTAATCATTGCCTTCTTTGTATGTATTGTTTTGTACAATATGGCAACACATGTTATGTGTCAGTTTGCAACCATGTGTTATTGCAAATATGCGTGAAATTCAATGTATTTACAAGTCGATAAAAGTTTAATTAAAGTGATTTATATACAAGATAAAATAAAAGAAAAGTGTGTAAAGTATTAAGTACAGTGTTATGTGCATTTATATATATAAAAGTATGCACAAATGCTTTTTTGTTAAGGAAACCAGTTGGAACGACTTAAGAAATTTTAACAACAAATAACTTATAAACAATGATATTATTTATATATTTTTTAGTTATACATGTTTTAGAGGATACCTCCCTTAACATCCTGACCAAGTTTCATTTGTTAATTCCACCTGGTTTTCTTAAAACTCAAGGTGCGGCTGACTAGTAAAGCCCACCCAAGGTGTTCTCTGCAAAAGGGTTTCCCTTTTCTTCGCAACACAGAAAGAGAATTCTACGTTGTGAGGGTTATAATCCCTAAGTGCGGCCGCAGGCCGCCTACGCAGAAAGATGTTCTCTGCAAAAGGTGTTCAGTTCCTTTTCTTCGCAACACAGAAAGAGAATGCTACGTTGTGAGGGTTATAATCCCTAAGTGCGGCCGAAGGCCGCCTACGCAGAAAGGTGTTCTCTGCAAAAGGTGTTTTTTTTTTATAATTATTTTACATTAATTCAATTTTTGTAAGAACTATACAACTTATATATAAAGTACGTATACCAAATTAAAAGGAATCAAATTTCCTATTAAATGAGATCAAAATTTTCAAGATACATCCATCCGTTTTTAAGAAATCTTGATTTCAAAAATTGCTTATTTTGAACTTTAACCTTTGATAATTTTTGTTGTTGTTGTTGTTTGCCCAAAAAAAGAAGTATACCGTTATACTCCGCTCAATCATCTCTATCGATTCCAATATTTTTTTTTGTTTTTTGAGATTTGGAGCCCAACTGCATTTGTTCCTCTGAAATTCGATTACAGATACAACGATGGCGGTTTGCGTGATCTGTAGTCGTTGGTTCATGGTGTTATACGATGTTTCCACGCCGGGTGATTCGCTTTCCCATACGTAATTCGCTCTCATTCGTGATTGGCCTCCAATTACGAACCGAATCACGTAATTCGCCATACAAAATTTTGAGAGCGAATCTGGGCCACGTAAATTTAAAATAGCCTCTAGCCAATTTTTTAGCCCTTTGGAAAATTTATTCGTATTTGACATGGAAAAGTTGTATATGTATGCTGAATTTGACCCGGGGTGACCCGATCCAAAAAAATTTTGCACACGCTTGTAGTAAAGGGTTTACACATTATTTTAACACCCACTTTTGTAATTTTTGGTCGCTAATTTATTTACAAATTGGGTTTGGAATATGCCCTTTTTTGTAAAATTCGGAAATAAGCGTACATTTATCACTTATTCTCCTTATAGGGCATTCGCACGAGGCGATTTTTCAGGCAACTTTTAGTTGAAAGCAAAAATCGCCTCGTCCGAACGGCCTTTCAACTAATCGCTTTCAACAAAGTTGGTCGCCAGCCAACTTTGAGCTCGTTCAACTTTTTTTCCTTGCAACCCTGTGTTTGTTTACATTCTGTATCAGTGTTGGGAAATGAAATTGTTCCTTCAGTACGAAATCTATACAAAAAATGTACTTTTCGGCTATAAATTGTATACACTTTTTAATTCGCTCATATATTTTCTTAGTACATTCCCTTCAAGACCAATGATTTTATGGTATTCATGAGAAAGTTTTATTGTTTATGTACAAACGTTTACGTAGTTTACACTTTTACAAATTGATTCCACGTGCACATGTACTGCATTTAACGCAAATATGTATGCACACATTTTCAGGTATACATCTTAACAAAAAGCATATTTAAGTTATTATTAATGGATAAAAGAGACATTTTCTTTGGATTCAGTACTAAAATTTGACATTTTAATAGAATTTCAAGTGCTTATCAAAACTTTACGAGAAGATTTGACCATTTATCTTAATATTATTCAATTTTAATTGTTTTTTGTAAAAATACGCTTTATATTTTAAGAAAAGCCGTACAAATCCAAGGTTCAAACTTTGTGCAACATTAAAAAAACCAACACACTTTCGTAAAAATTTCGATCTATTTAATTCGATTTCCTAGATTTATTTTGAGTGTGTGGTTTTTTAGCCCATTAAATTTTAATATAACTAAGTTTTTTAAGATTTCTTTGATGAAGGTGTTGCTAATTTCCTCCATATAAAAAAATCGTCGAACACACTTCGTATGGAAGAAAATGGCTGACATCGTCGACAAAACAAAATTGCCAAGTTCAACGGTAAGTCCCAGCTACTTTAAACTTGCACTTTATTATACTAAAATTGAATGGGCTAAAAACTGAAGAATATTAATAAAGCTCGAAATTTTTACGACAGTATGTTGGTTTTTGGATGTTTCGCAAAGATTTAATCTTGGGTTTATACAGTTTTTCTTAAAGAATACATTATAGTTTATAAACAGATAATTAAAATTAAAGAATAATAAAATAAATAGTAAAATCTTGTCAATATGTGAGTGCCGTAAAGGTATTATATTTAAGAAAATCTCTTCTTATAACTAACGAAGACTTTGTTTCTATATGAAGCTGACTTTGACATTTTGTTTTAATAAAACTTAGTATCGAAAAGTTTCTTTAAAAATTTGGCTAGGCTATGTTATACTGGTTCGTTCAAGCCATTTTTCAAAACTTACAAAGGTAAATACGAACAGGCGAACTGTGAATTTTCAGAGCTATATATTTTTAGTATTCATTACAAAATTTTACTAAAAAGTACTGCGTAGTAGGAAAGTATATTGTAAATGAAATTGTATCAAACAAGTACAATTGTACCAAAAATGCCAACACTGTTCTGTATACATACTTTTTTTCTTTTTTACTTTTTTACTCTTGTTTTATCTTTCAGCTTCGCTAAAAGCACTTCTACCAACGCTTGGCTTACCAAATTTACACCAATTGGTAAAATTTTGCGATTTTAATTAGTTTTCAATAATGTAAATAACGATTCGTGTTGAATCCAAAATCGCCTCGTCTGAATAGGGATGGCAACTTTTTCACTTTCAACTTCTCATTCAACTTCGTATTCAACTTTTGTTGCCTGTAAAATCGCCTCGTGCGAAT